GAAGGAAGGAAGGAAGGAAGGAAGGAAGGAAGGAAGGAAGGAAGGAAGGAAGGAAGGAAGGAAGGAAAGAGAGAAAGAAAATTATCAACTTTTACTCATTTAAAACAAATCTCTTTATCAATAGAAAATTAAAAGCTAAACAAGTCTGGGTGCTCACACCTGTAATCCTAGCTATTAAGGAGGCTGAGATCTGAGGATCACAGTTCAAAGCTAGCCCAGGCAGGAAGGTCTGTGAGACTCTCATCTCCAGTAAACAATAAACCACCGGAAAACCGGAGGTGGCGCCATGCTGTAGCTCAAGTTGTAGAGCGCTCACCTTGAGCTGAAGAGCTGAAGGACAGTGCCCAGGCCCAGAGTTCAAGCCCCATGAACAACAAAAACAAAAACACCTAAACATGGTTGTTCAGCCCTGCGATCCCAGCTACTTTTGAGAAACACACATGGGCAGGAAGGAGGGCTCAGTGGTCTTGTAATGCTGCAAAAAGGGAAGGGCAAATTACAGCATTTATCTCCTAGAGAACAACTCACCGTCAGTACGGTGAGTTGATGTTATTTTTTAAAATGTGTCCAGCAAGCGCAGCTTTGTGCCCCCCCCTTCACTCACTCTTGGCTGCGCCTGGAAGAGGGGGGTGTCCTCTGGCTAACGGGGCACCGTGAGCGTGAGCGAGACAGGCAGACTAGGAGGAGATCTGCCCACCGGCCGCATGTCAGGGGGCGGCCCCAGTTACCTGAGCTTCAGCTGGGACCGCACCTCCCCGAACTCCAGCTGGCGCAGCTCATTGTAGCAGGCCATGACGGCGGGGTTTTCTATGTACCTCTAAAACCAGAAAGGGGGTTGTTGGACAAACAAAGGAGCATCTTTGAGTAAGTATGTGTTCAATGAAAGGGATTCGAAACACACTCAATGTGTCCACTGAACACTTAAAACCCCTTTGTCGGGCTGGGAAGGTGGCTCAGTGGTAGTGCTTGTGCTTTGCATGCATGAGGCCCTGGGTTCAATTCCTCAGTACCACATAAGCAGAAAAAGTTGGTAGTGGCACTGTGGTTCAAGTGGTAGAGCGCTCGCCTTGAGCTGAAGAGCTGAGGGACAGCGCCCAGGCCCAGAGTTCAGGCCCCACGACCAACAACAACAACAACAAAATCCTTTGCAATCATTATTGCTGGACAGGAGATGCAGCTCCGGCAGCACCTAGTGGGGGGGCACAGGCTCAGCTCAAGCCGTGGGCAGAGCAGCAGGGATGGCAGGCCAGAGGGGGGAAGGGAGACAGCGTGGCCTGTGCCTGTTTCTTTGCTTGCTCTGTGGCTGTGGGGCTCTGGGGAGCAGAGCTGGGGTGGGCAGAGCACACTCCTTCCTCTGCCCCTGCAGCTCCAAGGCCTCCAGCTCGCTCGGCAGTGTCAGCCACGGAAGACACAGCTCACTCAAGGGATACTTTTTCCTTTTGCCAGTCCTAGGACTTGAACTCAGGACCTGGACGCTGTCCCTAAGCTTCTTTTGCTCAAGGCTAGCACTCTGCCACTTGAGCCACTGCACCACTTGCAGCTTTTTCTGTGAATACAGAACTGAGGACTGGCACTCAGGGCTTCATGCATGCTAGGCAAGCACACTACCATATTCTATTTAAGCCACATTCCCAGCCCCATACATTTTTCTTTTCTTTTTTGTGCTAGTCCTAGAGCTTGCGCACCAGGCCTGGACGCTGTCCCTCAGCTCCTTTTGCTCAAAGCTCGCACTCCACCACTTGAGCCACAGTGCCACTTCCAGCTTTTCCCATGATTCACTGGAGATGAAATCTTACGGACTTTCCTGCCGAGGCTGCCTTCACCGTGATCCTCAGGCCTCACTGGCGACTGCTCAGAGCCGCCTTCCACGAAGCCGCGCACAAGTGTTGTCACTTCCCCCCTCTGGCCTGCCATCCCTGCTGCTCTGCCCCACGGCTTGAGCTGAGCCTGTGCCCCACCACTAGGTGCTGCTGGAGCTGCATCTCCTGTCCAGCAATAATGATTGCAAAGGATTTTGTTGTTGTTGGTCGTGGGGCCTGAACTCTGGGCCTGGGCGCTGTCCCTCAGCTCTTCATCTCAAGGTGAGCGCTCTACCACTTGAGCCACAGTGCACTTCCCACTTTTTCTTCATATGTGGTGCCATGGACTCGCGCTCCTCCCTCCCTCTGGCTGGCGCTCTGCTCATGGACCACCGCACCACCGCAGACTGACCGTGTGCTCATCTCTAAAGGGCCCAACAGAGAGGACCAGCCTCCCCTGGCCAGACACCACGGGACCAGCTAAGCTCTCCCGCAGTCCCTAGCCTCAGTATGGTGTGAAACGGGGCAAGCAGGGTGTGAGATGCTTGGCAGACCAAGGGAGGCTGCAGGCTGAGGGAGGCTGAGGAGGGAGGGAGGCTGTGGACAGAGGGAGACCAAGGATGGAAGGAGACCATGGATGGAGGGAGACCGAGGGTAGAGATTGTGGACGGAGGGAGGCAGTGGACAGAGGGAGGCCGTGGACGGATGGAGGCCGAGGATAGAGACTGTGGAGGGAGGGAGGCAGTGGACGGAGGGAGGCCATGGACGGAGGGAGGCAGTGGACAGAGGGAGGCCATGGACGGAGGGAGGCCGAGGATAGAGACTGTGGATGGAGGGAGGCCATGGACGGAGGGAGGCCGTGGACGGAGGGAGGCCATGGATGGAGGGAGGCAGTGGACAGAGGGAGGCCGTGGACGGAGGGAGGCCGAGGATGGAGGGAGGCAGTGGACGGAGGGAGGCCGAGGATGGAGGGAGGCTGTGGACGGAGGGAGGCCGAGGATGGAGGGAGGCTGTGGACGGAGGGAGGCCCCTCCAGACCCCTAGGTTGAAGGCAGCAGTGCCAAGGCCCCCATGGGACCTTGGAGTGGGGCCTGTTCTTATAATACGTGTGCCTCAGCAGGCCCTCAGGGAAGGAGGGTGCTGGGGTACTCTCCCCTCCCCACTGCCACCTCCCTGTCTGAGCGCTCTAACCCAGCCTCACCTCTGTGATCTACTGTGTGCGCCTGCCACACAGGCTGAAGATGAAGGTGTCTTCCTCAGGAGGATCTGAGGTACCCATGGCCCCGTGTGCACGCTGCCTTACACCCTAGCCACGGCGTACATGGCCCCGCGTGCACACCTTACACCCCAGCCACGATGTCCACGGCCCTGCATGTACACCTTACACCCCAGCCACGGCGTCCACAGCCCTGCATGCACACCTTACACCCCAGCCACGATGTCCACGGCCCTGCATGCACACCTTACACCCCAGCCACAGCATCCATGGCCCTGCATGCACACCTTACACCCCAGCCACAGCGTCCATGGCCCCGCGTGCACGCTGCCTTACACCCCAGCCACGGCGTCCATGGCCCCGCGTGCACACCTTACACCCTAGCCACGGCGTCCACGGCCCTGCATGCACACCTTACACCCCAGCCATGGCGTCCACGGCCCTGCATGCACACCTTACACCCCAGCCACAGCGTCCATGGCCCTGCATGCACACCTTACACCCCAGCCACGGCGTCCACAGCCCTGCATGCACACCTTACACCCCAGCCACGGCGTCCATGGCCCCGCGTGCACACCTTACACCCCAGCCACGGCGTCCATGGCCCTGCATGCACACCTTACACCCCAGCCACGGCGTCCATGGCCCTGCATGCACACCTTACACCCCAGCCACGGCATCCATGGCCCCGCGTGCACGCTGCCTTACACCCCAGCCACGGCGTCCACGGCACCACGTGCACACCTTACACCCTAGCCACGGCGTCCACGGCCCTGCATGCACACCTTACACCCCAGCCACGATGTCCACAGCCCTGCATGCACACCTTACATCCCAGCCACAGCGTCCACAGCCCTGCATGCACACCTTACACCCCAGCCACAACGTCCACAGCCCTGCATGCACACCTTACACCCCAGCCACGGCGTCCACGGCCCTGCATGCACACCTTATACCCCAGCCACGGCGTCCACGGCCCTGCATGCACACCTTATACCCCAGCCATGGCATCCACTGCTCCATGTGCACGCCTTATACCCCAGCCACAGCGTCCACGGCCCCATGTGCATGCCTTACACCCCAGCCACGGCATCCACGGCCCTGCATGCACACCTTATACCCCAGCCACGGCGTCCACAGCCCCGCGTGCACGCCTTACACCCCAGCCACGGCGTCCACGGCCCTGTGTGCACGCCTTACACACCAGCCACAGCATCCATGGGCTCTGAGTGCATGCCTTACACCCCAGCCACAGCATCCACGGCCCTGCATGCATACCTTACACCCCAGCCACGGCGTCCACGGCCCTGTATGCACACCTTATACCCCAGCCATGGCGTCCACAGCCCCACGTGCACGCCTTACACCCCAGCCACGGCGTCCACAGCCCTGTGTGCACGCCTTACACACCAGCCACAGCATCCATGGGCTCTGCGTGCATGCCTTACACCCCAGCCACAGCATCCACGGCCCTGTGTGCATGCCTTACACCCCAGCCACAGTGTCCACGGCCCTGCGTGCACACCTTACACCCCAGCCACGGTGTCCACGGCCCTGCGTGCACACCTTACACCCCAGCCACGGCCCATGGGTGGCACGTACCCTTGTGAAGCCAGCAGTGATGAGGGACATCACAGACAAGTCTTCTCTGTCTGCCCTTTAAGAGAAAGCAGGGAGAGTTAGCCTTGCTTTCACCTCCACACGCTCACGACTCACTTGCTCACACACATTTGGATGAAAATCAGATGTGTAAACTAGACACATGGACCTCCTGTGTCAACAGGACGGCTAGGCGTAGGGCAGAATAGCACTGTAACTGTTTTTTTTTTGTTTTGTTTTGTTTTGCCAGTCCTGGGGCTTGAACTCAGGGCCTGCGCACTGTTCCTGAGCTTCTTTTGCTCAAAGCTTTCGATCACTTGAGCCACAGCACCACTTCCAGCTTTTTCTGTGTATGTGGTTCTGAGGAATGGAAGCCAGGGCTTCATGCGTGCTGGGCGAGCGCTCCCCCACGGAGCCACCCTCCCAGCCCTGTGACTGCTCTTGAGACGAGGCCCCTCGAAGCCTGGGCTTGAGTGGCTGCGCTGCCTCAGTCCACCCGAGCACCAGACCGTGGCGTGCAACTGCCCTGCGGCGACATGAGCGCCAGCACGAACACGAGCAGGTGCAGCACTCAGCTATCACCTCTCCCCAGGGAGGGGCGGCTCGGCACGCGGGCAGGCCTGTGCTGGACAGGGCACTCGGGGTTCATTTGCCAACTTCAACTCTTCAGGACCAACCACCTGACACGGACGTGCCAAACTGAAACCCTCCACACAGCCAGCTATGACAATAAAGTGCAACTTAAAACTAAATATACAGGGCTGGGAAGGTGGCTCAGTGGTCGAGCGCTTGCCTTGCATGCCTGAGGCCCTGGGTTCGATTCCTCAGCACCACATAAGAAAAAAGAAAAAAGCCGTAAGTGGCACTGTGGCTTAAGTGGAAGAGCGCTGGCCTTGAGCTGAAGAGCTGAGGGACAGCGCCCAGGCCCAGAGTTCAGGCCCCACGACTGGACCCAACACACACACACACACACACACACAC